TACAATAATTTGGATGAAAATGATTTCAGATGAATTTTTTTCTCAGTCATGATGCTCAGTGATTTGGTTCAATCATCTGTTTGGATCCAGGGGCATTTCATCTGCTGGATTCAGGCTTTACCTGTATCACATGGCTATTATGAAACTTAAAAATGAAGAAGACACACAAAATCATTTTGAACTCCTTGCAGCAAAGTTTGTTTAAAAATATAGTAAATAATAATACAATCGTATTACAAATTAAATTGCAATCTGCATTTAAGCCTGAAATAATCAATTTCTATTCAAAATGGAGGAAAGTAAAACCTTGATATATATAGGAAATATTAATGGAAAAGGTACTGAAACACATGGGCACTCAGATCCATTTGTATGTTGTATAAATGCTGCCCTGATAGGCTTTTACTTTTCTGCCATACTAAAGCTTACTCTGAGTCTACTTATTACAGTGTTGTCCAAACTTGGCCACTTTAAGATGAGTGGACTTGGGGACTATTTGTTTATTTACTTATTTTTCTCCATCTCCAATAGTTTCAAAGTTGGTGGTAAAGCTGTATCGTGATGAGGATGTTGTTATATCTGAAGCAATATTTATCTAGATATACTGGCCCCAGCTCCACTTGTTTTAGAGTGACATATTTGCATGCAACACCGGTAGTGCATTTCCGTAGTAGTTCCCACCACATGCTAAAGCCATCCAGCTGAGACAGTTATAATACAGGGAGGTGAACTTAATGCTGACTTATACTTTCTCACCTGAGAATGAATTCAGGGAAGGTGATTTCTGAGTAATCATAGAGAAAATTACAAAACCATACTTGTCAATATAAACTGCAATCTTAAGCAATTTTTGACATAAAGGAAGATAATCATCCATTCATCCCTTAGCCATTTTACTATGCAGTTTTTTTAAAGGAACCTAATTTTACTTGTATGTTTTAATGTCAAATTTAAATCTAAAATTTGATGCTTTATCAAATGACTATATTTTTCTGAGAATAAAACAAATATTTTTCTGACAGCTTATTGCTTGATTTTCCAGGTTCTTAATTCAATACATTGGCTGTATGTAAGTGAATATATTCAGTGCTGTAGATATCCCTCAAAATCAGATACTGCTTTATATTGGGAATAAATTGCTGTGTGTACAAAATATGCCATAGATACAAAATCATTGAAGTAGCATAAAATGGAAATGAGTCAGCATATAGACGGGAGGTTCAACAACTGGTCTTGTGGTGTGGTTGTAATAACTTGGAATTGAATACACTTAAA